GTAAAAGAGTTAGAAAAAATGAGAGCAAATAGTGAGTTGGAGAAAAAGAGAGAAAATGTTGAGATAGCCATTAGAGAGAAAAATGGAGAGCAATCACAAGAGAGAAAAGAAAGAGAGTGCCCCAAGAGAAGAGAGAAAACACGAATGAATTTTTTTGCAAAAGAGAGTGATTTTAGGAGGGCGGTAGTTGAGAGAAAAGAGATGATCTTGTTCGTTTATAAGGAATAACTTCTCAATTTTGAGGAAACTAACCCACCCCTCCCTAATTTGGCTAAGTCTTTGTTGCAGGAATTCGACGATGTATTTTCGGAGGATGCACCAACTGGATTGCCGCCTATTCGAGGCATTAAATATCAAATTGACTTCATACTCGAAGCTGTCATTCCAAATTGACCGGCTTATCGAAGTAGTCCCGAGGAGACTAAGGAGCTCCAAAGGCAAGTGGAGGAGTTAATGAGCAAAGGATACGTGAGGGAAAGCATGAGTCCTTGTGCGGTACCGATTTTGCTTGTGCCAAAAAAGGATGAAACATGGCGAATGCGAGTGGATTGTAGGGCTATCAACAACATAATGGTAAAGTATCGTCACCCAATACCTAGGTTAGATGACATGCTTGATGAATTACATGGTGCTTGCATATTTTCTAAAATTGATTTAAAAAGTGGGTATCATCAAATTCGTATGCGGGAGGGTGATGAATGGAAAACGGCTTTTAAAACTAAATATGGTTTATATGAATGGTTGGTTATGCCGTTTGGACTCACAAATGCACCTAGAACTTTTATGCGTTTGATGAATTATGTTTTACGTGTTTTATAGAAAAATTTGTTGTGGTTTATTTTGACGATATCTTAATCTATAGCAAAGACCTAGGAGAGCATTTGGAACATTTAAAGTGTGTGTTAATTGTTTTAAGGAAAAAACAACTCTATGCTAATATTAAAAAATGCACGTTTTGTATGGATAGAGTTATTTTTCTTGCTTTTGTAGTTAGTGCTAATGGGGTAAAAGTAGACGATGAAAAGATAAAAGCTATTAGAGATTGGCCAACACCTAAAAGCATAACGGAAGTTAGAAGTTTTCATGGATTGGCTAGTTTTTATATGTGTTTTGTGAAAGATTTTAGCACTATCACCGCACCACTCACGGAAGTAGTTAAAAAGAGTGAAGGTTTTCATTAGGGTGATCAACAGGAACTTGCATTTAATATTATTAAAGGTAGATAGTGTGAAGCACCTGTTTTGGCATTACCTAACTTTGATAAAACATTCGAGATTGAGTGTGATGCGTCAGGAATAGGGATTGGAGTAGTTTTAATGCAGGATCGGAGGCCTATTGCATACTTTAGCGAGAAATTGAGTGAAGCTGCTTTAAATTATCCTACATATGACAAAGAAGTTTATGCACTTGTTCGAGCTTTGGAGACTTGGCAACACTATCTATGGTAGAAGGAGTTCGTAATACACACCGATCATGAGTCACTAAAGCACTTGAGGGGACAAGGTAAATTGAACAAGAGGCATGCACGGTGGATGAAATTCATTGAGACTTTTCCACACGTCATTCGGTATAAACAAGGTAAGGAAAATGTGTTGGTGGATGTGTTGTCACGAAGGTACGTATTGCTAACTACTCTTGATTCTAAGCTACTTGGGTTTGAACATATTAAGGAATTGTATGAAAAAG